CTCCCAATGCACAGAGCACAGGACCTGACTCACTCACAGAGCAGCCCCAGAACCCCAGTTACCAGAGCCCCATGTCCCACACAAACACGAGCGGGCCTGCAGTGCTGTTCTCTGGCACCCCGGCATGTCTCCCTCCACCCCAGCGAAGAGACGGGGAAGAGCCAGACATCCCCGTCTGGACTGGAGTCCTGAGCAGTGTGGCCCCAGGTCTTGCCCCCTCTACCCTGTTTGTGTCGGAGTTCAGTTGGGGGCGGAGGGGAGAGGAAGACGATGCTGGGGTCTTCATCCCCTGCTCCCTGGCCCAGGTGCCCGAGTCAGGTCCTCTTGAATCCGTCTGCTCCAGTCCTCCTTTCCTCCAGCAGTCCTCTGTTTGCTTTTTGAAGCCCCACCCCTCCGCTCCCCCAACAGGGGCTCCCGCCTCTGCCCCTGGGGTGGGAGTGTGGGGCATGCTGGCGGCCCAGGGCTTGTGCAGGAAACAGCTGTTCACTGATGGCCACGTGTACAATACCTTGTGCAATCGCCCCCCTCCTTTTGATCAAAGGACAAATCGATCTGCTTAGCAACCACAACGTCTCCTCTGAGCGGTGGGGTAGTGGCATGGCGTGTGTACTTAGGGCCTTTGGCCAAGGGAGGAAGCTTGGAGGATAAGGCATGAAACTACATCAACACTAGGGGTGTCCGGCCCATCAGTACAACTGAACATCAACACATCCTTGGCGCTTCACACAACCCCATTCTTCTCACCCTGTGGCATATATATATATATATCTTTACAAATGCAAATACACATCTTTTTCTGTAATAATTGTTTTCTCCCGATCAAATACTGTTGAAGCTGTAGCTGTGTCGTGTCTTACTGGAGAAGGGAAGAGTGCCTGTATGGTCTGTATTTTTAACAGATCAGTGGTGTGAAAATAAAACATCCTGCAGTATGGCAAGACTGTTTTAGGATGAGATGTTAATACTTTCTAGCCGTTTCTCTCTAATGTCGATTTATTAACTCTGTAGAATTTTGAATAGATTCAGTACTGCCCTCTGCTGGTGGAATGGTGGAACTGGTAAATTCAGTGGATGCGGAAGTAATTATGTATTTAATTTCTTTATGCAACGAAGATAATAGAACTATCAAGGGGTTATACAGTACATACAAACACTGCAATATTCCAATACAAAGCTACTTTTTTATTTAGATTTTGTTGTTCTGTTGAATGTAACAAAACAACAAATTATCTAGAACCTTATCAACATTACAAAGATCATGTTAGAGGTTGCATTATATAATAAACTTATTGTAAGATTTATATAGACCAGGTTTGCAACCGTATTTTTAGATATGTTTTAAACAATTTGAGCACCACTTGATTGAATTTGTAAATTCTTTGTCACACAAAAGTTTTACACACTCTACATTTATGTATAGAACATAAATGACATTTAATATGATACAGACGTCTTTATTTTTATTCAGAACACCAAGAACAATGTCTTTAAAAGTTAAATTTATACAAATATTACTATTATTTAACCAAGAACAGACAGAGTGACAGAAAGCTGTTGAATGATGATATAAAAAATGTTTAGCTGTTCCAATGGCTCACAAAAAATACAAGTGTTACAATGAAAGTAAAATATTTTTCTCAGGAATTTGCATGCTGTAAAATGATTTTAAAATGAATGTCTTTAGTTTTGGGTGGGGTGTGAAGAGTTATATATTGAGTTCTTGCAGTAATGAGACTCACCATCAAAATGTACTTTCCACCTGAAGAGGGCATCGGCCTAATTTTCCTAATGTACTTACTGGGACATTTCTTTTCCCAAATATTGTAAGTTCCTTATCTGACCTCTGGTCATAATGGACTTATGTTACCATAAGATACAGACATTTTCACCAGAGCCAAAAATGCAATTGGAATAGTATCTACAGTTTAAGGTCTTTAATTTATTTTCAGGTTACATTCAATATCATAGTTTTGATTTGCAAAATCATGATATTAATAAAAATTCTCCATTAGCCTCTAATAGATGTACAACTGACCAAATACCCTTATTTAACCAGAATTAATAAAATATGTTCTTTTTTAAGTAATACATGCCTGTTATTTGGGATTTTTGCCATAGGTTGACAGAAAACACCCTGTAAAGTTTCAAGGTGAAAACAAAATTCTACACATCCTCTTAAATTAGTTGTGAAAATAACACGGAAAATAACTGACTGCATCAGTATTCACCCCCTTTTCCTATGACACACCTCGATAGGCTCCGCTGCACCCAAATGTCTTAAATAGTCAGATCATTTCTCGAATGGAGTTCACTTGTCTGCAACTAGGGTGTTTCAGTACAGCTCCCAACCAAAACTTCATTGTGAAGACTAACAGTATCACGAGGGTGCAGTTATGGTAACACAACAATTTCCAATACAGCAAAACCTCCTGATGAGAAACAGGAATGTGTAGTTGGAACCCGTGCTCAAGTTCTTGCTGCAGTGAGGTCTGCCTGTGTTTCCAGGTATGAGCTGGGCCAGGGCCTGTACATCGGCTGGGGCTCTGCTGTCCTGGCCATCGGTGGAGGAGTCTGCCTGCTCTGTGCCTGCAGACAGGAGTCTGAGGGGAAGGTGTAAGTTCATTTTTCATTCAGACCTGCATGAGCTCCAAAGGTGCCTCAGCTGGCTGCTCTGCTTCTGTAACAGGATGGACGTCCGGTGCTGGAGAAGAGTCCTTTTGGTTTTCTTACATCTGTCTCTCTGCGCATTACTGCTAGCGCTCTCTCTTCCTGCCTCCTTGATTTATTATCTCCAAGGGCTGTCTTTCTCCATGATTCACGTTTTCTGTCCTTCTCTCCAGCAGCGGATACGCCTACCAGCCCTCCAAAGGCTCTCAGAGAAACCCCCACAACCAGTACGACCACAACTCTTACGTGTGAGAACAGGAGTCCGACCCGCGTTGGAGGAACACCTGGCCCCTGTCCGGACACTAGTCACAGCCCGACAGAGGCGTCTAATACCTTCTTAGTTTCCTGCGTGTTTCATTACTGAGGCCACGGCTGTGGAGAAGAATGAAAAAATACAACCAGACAGATAAAAATGACTAGACTGTGAGAGTGGGGTCACCTTCTGCTTGTTTTAAGAACAGTATGCAAGAGAAGCTACAGATGAGAGGACAGTATTCATACCGTCACAGTCATTCTTGTGTCTTCTGAGTGCAGATCCCCAATAACTATTTTCTGCCATCACCCCATCACACACATACCCCCTCCAGTGACTCAGCTGTTCCGAACCCTCACTGGGGACGCTGACAGCTTTACTGGACTGCTTACTTATCCTGCAAGCCCCTCTGGGGGAAGAAGTGCCTCCCACTCTCAGCTTTCTCTTTTAAATAAAACTCACATGGATGCTCCTCAGCTCTGGGGCTCTGTGGTGAGTTTGTAGAAAAAGTCTGGGCTGGTTGATTTTGATCTTTTTAGAATTTCTGAAGAAAAACAAATGGGCTGAGAGCCCATCCAGATTTTTGCTTCAGCACTATTTTCTGCCTTCGACACACATAAATTGATTCCATTCTGCAGGTGTTGTGCCGGAACCTGTTTTGCGATTCTCTCACAGCAAGCTCTAAGAGTGACCCCCTTTCTCCCAGTTTTTGTGCAACACTTATTGCCTGTACGTCTGACCAGAGAGCTCTTTCTGGAACGCGTCTGTGTGGCATTTCAGTGGACTAGTCACTCGGTTCTGAACACAAACACACCACAGATCTGTAGAGAAGAACAATCAAAGATCTTTCAAGAAACAGCCAGACGGGATTTGTGGATCAGTTTTATTTCCTGTTAACAATCTAAAAAGCACGGGGAGTCTTGTGCTTTCCTCTGTCTTGAAGCCCTTCTTATGTTCTTGCATTGTGGTGAAATTCCCTGTCAGTCAGTTTTTTTTCAACCCGTGCAAAAATGTCAGTCAGGGACTCTTTTATTTCTTTTTTTTTTAATTTGTATATTAGAGAACAAAACAAAACCATTTTACATATAACCCACCATTAATCAACCTTTCATCACATGCAAAAAATCCTGTTTGTTTCCCTAGTATTTTACAATTATATAACTTTTTAACAAAACTATATACATTCAAAAGAAGGAAGATGTTTACATTTATGAATATGAAAAGGGAGGAGACTATATAAATTTACCTTATAAAATTTCAGTTATTTTGTATCTCAACAAAATCCGACCTTAAAGGTTTAATGTACTGAACCCATCTAGACCAAGATTTGACAATTTTTTTTCATTTGTAATTTTAGTGAAAATGTTATTTTTTCCATGATATATTTTTCCTTTGTTAATTCAATCCTGTCATTCGTTGTTGGGAAATCTGGGAGAAGCCACTTTCTTGTTACAGCTTTCTTCCCTGCTGATATAAGGATTCCAAACCAATATTCGTCAGTTCCCCTCCAAACAAAATCCAGCTAACCAAAATATAAAGCCTCAAATGTAAAGGGTACATTCTTTTCAAATATAGTTTCCAGGGCTGGGACTCTTTTATTTCAAATCTGTTTTGCTTATATTCATAATTTGCATGTATTCTCCTATTTATTTATGTCTAATTGTAACATGTGTTGCATCCCTCCCTATCTCTGACCGCTGCTTGTAAGTGGCAGCACCTTATTCTAATTGTGTGTAACAAGCTGAGTAGAGGAAACCCCTAGTTTTGCTTGTGGGACAGACCTGGACAGGTGAGATGCTGAGAGCCAGAGATATCTGCAAAAATGGGTTTTCAAAGCATTTCCTGGAACTCTGCTTGGATCCTAGAATCTATTTAATTCCCTCGAGACGTTTCCTGGGGGGTGTTTCTGACTTTCTGAAGTGGATTCTGTGTACCCAGGTAGCCAAGGTCTCTTTTTTCCATGCATGTCCATGTGCGCACGTACAGATACACTGGTGTTTAGGAGAAGGACCCGGGCAACATAGACCCCAATTCCTAAGAAGACTGTTCCCTGCTCTGCTCTTATTCTGCTACTGAACCACAGTGGTGCAACAGTGTTGCAGAAAAGAGACTGTATGGCATTACTGCTCCGTTCTTCCATGGCATCAACGGGCTGATGTCTCTGAGACTGCTTGATGTGGTTCAGAAGGAGCTGCCTGCTGCTCAGGCTCATGGTAGCAGAGCGGGACCCCTGCAGTCCTGGGAGACAGCAGCTCATGACATGGGGGGGGGCCCATGACACTTTTCATCACCCTGGGTGTGGTTGTTCCGTTTTTTCTGGTCCCTGTTTTGAGGTACGTTGGGCAGGGCAGGGTCACACCCACACACACCCCAGCGTGTGGCGCAGGGAGAAGGGTTCTTGATTTTCGCATGGGAAAAGGGGGTTTTCTGTCCATATGTTTGAATTCAGTTTTGTTCCCATCAGAAAATGGAGGAAAAAAGTTAATAAAAAAACACAGTGCTGCATAAAAATATCATAGCACGTTGACTTCACTGCAGAATTATTCTTATTGTAATCCCTGTTTAGGTTGTTTCCGTGCGTTTTGTTTCTGGACGATGCCAATCCTATTGCACCCCGCTTTCATAGAGAGGCATTTTGTAAGTAGACGTGAAAATTGGTCGCAATCATCGTTTTTTTTAAAACGGCCAAACAAATAAACCGGTGAAAAAAAACTCAATTTTTTTGCTGAAATAAATTCTATGATGCCGTATCTTGCGAACCATCGAACAAACTAGATGTAGCAGTTTTGCTTGCCAGCGGGGAACAAGCAGCCCTGTCAGTTTAAATACGAGGCCGGAAGGTGGCGGATCTGCAACACGGGGAAGTTTCGTCTGTGAAGCAGCGTCCAATGAGCCGCTACCACGCCTGGACCCGGATGCTAGATGAAGACCAGACGGGTTAAGTTTCGTTTGGTTTGACAACCCAGAAACGTCCATCCTCGGACAAAGAGGAAAAACAGAAAGGGAAGGGGTGACAGGAAAACTTCGTGGGAGAAAAAAAAGAGGCAATAAAAGAGTTTATAAGACGGGAAAGAGTGGGTGGTCGGAACCTTTGTCGCGGCACTCTAGCTAGCGACTCGGCAGGGAAAACAGACTGGACCTCAGTAGAACCCGATCCGGACTAGTGTGTTCTTCTTCGGGGGAAGAGAGAGCTTTTGTTTGTTTGTTATTCCGAAGTTCGTGATTATACGTGCTACCTTAGAGCCAGGTGCAGTGCAGGGCACCTGTCGGACCGGCGGCGATGGAAGCGAGTAGGCGCAAGGGACTGAGTGGCATCCTGTCCTCTCTTTCCTTGCTATGCGTAGTGCTGGATCTGCAGATCGATGGTGAGTGTTGACCATTTACCCCACTTATCCTGTTGCAAACCAAAAACTGCGACGAGAGTACACTGCGACCTCGAAATCGCGGGACCTCTTTGGGACATTGAAAGGTGACTAGAAACACGTACACGGACTCCTCTTCCGAAAGAAACGCTTAGACTTCCCGATACCGCACACCTGGGGGACTGTCTCATTTTCGCAAGTTGACATAAGTATTGAAGAACGTCGGACGTGACAGCTCGACATCTGGCACGGAGCTTTCTCAACAAGACACGCCAGGAAAATTAACCCCTGATCGAAATACTTTGTAAATTCCTGTATTGTGTGACATGCTGTGATTGGAAAGTGTAGTGGTTATCTTATAACTGGTTCTTGGTAAGAGATGTCGTTCTCACGGCCTTCGTATTTTAGCGTTGTTTCAGGAGCATTATTAATAGAAGCCATCTAATCCTAATCCTCGGTTTTTTAACTTTTGAAGTGGTATTAGGGTGTGAAGATACTTTTAAATGCCTTTACTAACGACATGGAGCTGTAGTATTGTAAATTCTCCTAAAACAAGTAGATTTGGAGTTGGATCTAAAACAGGAAATAAGGAATATTCTGCACAGACTGGGAGAAAATGACGATCTTTTTATTACAACAGGAGTAAGTTTTCTGTTTTGAAAAACTTCAGAAATGAGTACACCCCACCCTCACTCCCCAACCACACACAACACCTCCATGGTATTGTAATACGATGCCGAGAGTGTAGCTCCTTGAAAAGGAAAAGCTGTCCGATTTCTAAGAAAAGGGCAGCGACGAAGAGATTGTGTTTCTGAAATTGTCTTTATGCAGAACAGGTTACAGTCAGACTTGCGTTAACTTTAGACTGGAGCCCTACATGCAGCAGCACAAGAAAACGCAGTCAGAAGGGTGCAGATATCTACAGCCTTGGAGTATTGAAGGAGCAGTAACGATGAGGTGGCTCTATCCCTCAGCTGTATAGTAACACCAGGTGCGGACAGCTCCAGGTCAACGCCAAGCTGAGCCTTGATTCTCTGCCCCATCCGAGACTACACCCCCAGAGACGCCCTGAGACCCAGGCAGCACAACCTCAACGCCCGCGGGCCTGCAGGTTTAAAACGAAAGGCCTCGATCCTACACCAGGCAGGGTGGGGAGCTACTGCGCGGCACAAACGAGTGCAGGGTTTGGCACTGAAACCAAAAGCAAACAGGCTGGGTGTTGTCCCACTGAGCGGTGCTGTTTAATTACAAAAAAATGACACAGTGCAGCACAGGGAAGAGAGTCAGGTATTGACTTTTTACTAAGGTAGCCATTACCATAGTGCTCTCCGTGTTCATTCCAGCTGAGCTACTGACGGTTTAATGGAATCAATCACTGACCTGATACTTACTAACTTAATTACCTGTTTCCAGGTCTCCAATCATCAAGGTGTTTCAATTCCCTAAAGTGGTAAATGAGTCTAATAAAGCCAATAAAAAGGGAATTAAAGTCATTAAATGCTGTGTTGGAAGGAAATCCTAGACGCACACTGTCCCTTTGCTATGTGTCATTTGCCAAATCTAAATAGAAACCTT